ACTCGACGCTGTTCGAAAGAGTCGAACAGCATCGATTTTACAATTTTCAAATTGACATTAAACTTTTTTTTGTACCTCATAATTTTCCAAGGTTGCTATCTTATTAATATTATCAGCCATGTACAGAAGCCGCTCAGAATAGCATGTAAAATGTTTTACAATACACGCCGAGAAGGAAAACTGCTTATCGAGCAAGGAGAGTTTTTTTTTGTTTTGCGGAAAGCCTTCGCAAAGAAGATAATTCGGCTCCACTATCTGTAAATGTCTTGTCCGTTGGTTACGTTATACATGTATAACAATGTTAACGGCCATAGTTCATAGTGTATATTGAGTTATGATGCAGTACTTGAAGAATGTTTAAATACTGGAAGAATCACTGAGTTACATTGTATTAGCGCTATTTTAAGCCAGGGATGTCTTCCAATCTTCTTATTCCATATTTGGGCAAAAAATGTTTTCCGTGCTTCTGATTGGACGGCTAAAACACCCCAGCATGCAGCTGAGCATGCATGGTTCTAAACAAAGTAGGGGAATTCAGACGCTTCAGGGTTATATGCTTTTGCTTTAATTTTATTTATCATATCTTAAACATCATGAAACGAGGCTCGCTGTAGGGGAAACTCTATTTTAATTTTACAGCATTCAAATATATCTATTTTACAACTTTCATCAGAATGAACTTACGTTTATAAAAAAGGTTTCTTAGACCGTAAGGGGAAAAGGGAAGCAACAACAAACACAAAAATACATGGTTTTTTGCGCAACTTTCCCATCTCAAGCTCTCTCGCGCGTTTCCTATTCGCCGGCTGCATAGAATTAACCCCATTCAGCAGCAATACTATTGCCACAACAAATGTAAACAAAAAAATGCCTAGTGTACGGCCAAAAGGTGAGAAAAGAGCCAAGAAGAAAAAAGGTGATATTACAGACTTTGATCATGTGTTAACAGGAAAGGAACAAAAAATTAATGACAGCGCGGAAAAGGAAGTCATGTGATAGGGGTAGTGAACTTTGTTCTTAGCTTTTTTTTGGGGGGGGGGACGTTGAGGGGAAATTTCAATTACAGAAGCACTGTAAGACAAATTGTTTAAGTTCCTAATAACTTCATGTAGATCATAAGCTGTTTTCAAGCTGAACTGAAGAAGTGAAATTATTACAGATTGTTAACATCATTACAATTATTGTTGTAATGAATAATTGGCAAAGCTGGTAATG